AGGCTGGTGCAGGGCAGGAACAAGGTGGAGACAAGGAGGGCCTCCGGGGCGGAGCAGGGAGCTCCGAGAGCCATGGCGGAGCAGGCAGTTCAGGTTGCCATGGCGGAGCTGGTAGCTCAGGGGGCCATGGCGGAGCTGACAGTTCAGGAGGCCATGGCGGAGCAGGCAGTTCGGGAGGCCATGGCGGAGCAGGCAGTTCGGGAGGCCATGGCGGATCAGGCAGTTCAGGAGGCCATGGTGGAACAGGGAGCTCGGGGGGCCATGGCGGAACAGGGAGCTCGGGGGGCCATGGCGGAACAGGGAGCTCGGGGAGCAATGGTGAAACAGGGAGCTCGGGGAGCCTGGCCTCGGCACTTGGCCTGGCCTACCCCCAAAAAAAAATCCTTGGGGAGAATATAGTCTTTAGGGGCCCTCCGTAGGCCTAACTCGGGAACTGTGGCCCTCCCTGGGCTTGACTTGGGGACTGGAGCCTTCTCTAGGATAAACTCGGGGACAGGAGCCCTCACTGGGCTAAACTCGGGGACTGGATCCCTCTCTGGGCTAAACTCGGGGACTGGAGCCCACTCTGGGCTAAACTCGGGAACTGTAGCCCTAACTGGGCTAAACTCGGGGTCTGGAGCCCTCTCTGGGCTAAACTCGGGGACTGGAGCAATCCATGGGCTAAACTCGGGAACAGGAGCCCTCCGTGGGCTAAACTCGGGAACAGGAGCCCTCTGTGGGCTAAACTCGGGAACAGGAGCCCACACGGGAGCGAGCTCTGGGGCTGGAGCCGACACTGGAGCGAGCTTTGGGGCTGGAGCCGACACTGGAGCAGGCTCTGGGGCTGGAGCAGACACTGGAGCGGACTCAGGAGAGAGGATAGGGGCCGAGAACTCCAGAGTAAGTGCCATATCCAGGAGTTCTGAGACATGAGCTGGCGCCCGTTTTTCTGGGCTTGAGAGTGCATCGGTGGGCTTGACTGCGGGTTGGTTCTGGATCGAGGCCGGACGCTCTCCTGACACCGGAGGATCCCTTCCCTCCAGCTTAGTTCAGTGGTGTCTGGGAGGTCCACGGGGCGATGGTAATTAGCCCCGATCCAGAACTGCGAGTTGAGCGTGGCGTCATCCAGTGGCGTCGCTGCGGCGAGCCCGCAGAATTCCCCGGCGTACTCGTAGAAGGGGAAATCTTTACGTGCTAGGGCAATGAATCGTGCGGCGGCCATCTCCATGGCCGCGGGGAGAAACAAACAGGGAAAACAAAAAACTTTCAAAAAAACGGAAAACGACCACGGGGGGAAAAAGGCGCCGCTTACTTTCGGTTTTAGGTCCGCTGTTCTGTCACGATCTCTCTCTGGGAGGAACGAGGAGACGCAGGAGAATACTTCAACTAGGATTTTAATCAAACAAGCAAAGGGGTACAATCACTGGAACTCAAGGATGACATATAACAGCGGACTCAGACTCAGGGAAACACAGGGTTTATATGCAAGGGGAAAACGAGATAATGAATCAAACACAGCTGGATACAAATTAACACAATGAGGACAGGAACTAAACCAAATAAGGGCAAACAGGAACTAAATGGGAACATACATGTGACAATAATCCTTTATTACTATTTTTAAAAGATCACCGCAAAAAATATCTGAAAACCTTCTGACTGTCAAATCAACAGTAATGTGCTCCAACCAACATGCAAGAAAAAAAGGAAATTACATCACAGAGAGGACACCTGCAGACCCTCACGACTGTGTATCAAGGTAAATACGATATGGTACTTACATAGCACCTAGACCTCAGTTATCATGAAAAAAGCCAGGAAATTTCAGTTTTGACAATATGGGACCTTTAAAATATCAGATCATTTGAACTTTTCATAACAAGGCAAGGTTGTAAAATGCCATACGGATGTGGCTTCCCAAAACCTCAGTATTATTATTCTTATGAAATAATAATTTATGACATTACATAGATAGATAGATAGATAGATAGATAAATAAAAAATGTACATTTAAGCAAATTGTGCTAATATTTCTTATTTTGTTGCATCATATGACTTTTTTGGAGTCATTGAATTGAAACCTTTCTGGAAAATGTTACCAAAACCATATGAATCCAACATTAAAGCATCTTTTCTTTGTCGTGGATGCTTTTATATGTCATTGACCCTTTAGATATGTGAGCCCTCCATCACATAGTAATACGGAGTAGATGACTTACCGTATAATCTATCAGTTCCCATGCTTACTGGACACAAGACTTGCTAATTTCAAATGACCTACCTGTACAAAGCCAAAAGCCAGTCTAAAGTCATACTAAAGGGGTCAAACGTAGTAGGAATTCACCACTGTCAATCTGAGAGTGATTGGTTGCTGTCGGTATGTGCACACACACCTACGAGATTGAGGTCAGAGCCATCTTGCACATAAATGAGAACCAAGGTCCTTGATAATGGTGACCATAAATAAAGCAGCCACACATATCAGGACATAATTACCAAATCAGTCAGCGAGACCCATTACTGTAAGTGTGCTGGCACAGAACCCAGGCGCGCACACTCTCACTCCTCTTCCCATTTGCGCAAACAACTCCAACTGTCACCCAGATCCGAGTGTATTTTGGGAACTTGGTTAAAATATAAACTGAAGAGGTGCCCATTAATAAAGTGTGAAGTCCTATCTCCACAGCTACCGGTAAATACAATTTCATTATTACAGAGCAGAGTTGAGTCTACTTCTCATCAGGAATATTAATGACTTTAACAGGCAATTTACAGCAAGACTGAACCAAATTACCATAAATCCAGGAATCTGCAACACAATTAACCTAACACACCATAAGACCAGCTCATCTGCTCTGGAATTATCTGGAATATTCTTAAGATAAACCCTGGAGATATCAACAAGGCTCATTTACTCCATCTCTTTCTCCATCCTTCATCACCCTTCCTGTGTCCACTGCGAGTTAAATAAGCTTTTTGCCTCGGCTGATGAAGTGTTTGTGTGTGTGCACAAAGAGCCAAAGGGTGGTGCTGTATCTGGCTCTCTTCCACCTCCTCTATATACCACTGAGTCAGCTATAAAGTGACTCAGTGCAGGAAGGCGCCCACAGAGTCGCACCAGCACACACAAACTGGCTTTTGCACCAACACACACATATTGGGCCATACACACACCGTTTCACACAGGTATGAATATATTGGATGCCCAGAATAACAACAAAATCCCTTCAAATCCCCATTTCGATGCCAGTAACAGTGCTTTATGAGTCTTTCGGCACCATCAGTCTCTGTTGTGACTTCCCTGTCCAGTCTTTCATTAGATTTGATCTCTGCAAATACTCTTACAGGAAATCAAATCTTCATCTTCAAGAGCAAATATACAGGAAGGCTCATTTAAATACAGCATTAGGCTATCTGTTGGATAAAAGTGACCTCCAATCACCTCTTCGCGCGATAGCACATAGCAATTTGCTCTGATTTCTGCATAACATCAAATGTATTTTCTGTTTGTGCTTTAAAAAGCCATATCCTACCTGTTATCATTTATCTTTGGCAGTGTCTATTTACACCAACCTTGGTAAAGGCTATTTTTTCTAACTGCCACTACTCAGGCAATTTACCCTTCGTACAAACAGCACATTACTTCCATTTGCTCTTAATGCAAACAAGATGCTATTTGTTGCCATTTACACTTGAGGGACCTATATGTGCCTCTATTTACACTCAATGTACTGTACCTTTTTTCCTGTACTGTAGGCTACCTGTAGTCTATTTTAATGTTAGTCAATTTTCTTGCTGCAAAACCAGCTGTAATTTAGTATAACATTATATTTTCCATCCTTTCTCTTCCTTATAGGATTAAACTGGCTGTTTTTGATACTCCACCTTTAAAACAATATATTGGATGTCCGCTATGATTGGTTAGACTTTTTGAATGTGAAAGGAGCAACATTACTTGTGTATTTGCTGTCAGGTCCAATATAATTGCCCCATCTTTCAATAACAGCCTTTTTGTAAAGCTTGCTTTGACATTCGCCAAACAAGCTGCACCCAAATGTGCCACACAAAATGCTAAGGTAGGTCCTTTTCTTTGAAGGCTCGAAGTACAATCCATGACATCAAATGCTGTATAATTTGTCTATCAACCTATACCGACATCACATTTGAAGATGCATACCAGTTGTGATATCACTGTCTCACCCCCTATCTGCTGCTT